GCGCGGGGGGGGAAGGGGGAAGGACGACTCAGCACCCAGTCTGTGGGCAGGGGGGAGGGGAACCCAGCACCCAGTCTGTGCACTGGTGAAATCAACAGGACAGCAACATGCCTGGCAATAAGCGAAGGGGGCTATCCGGACTCGGAGGACAGCGGATGAACTTTGGGGCTATAAATAGACGGCAGAAAGACCCCGCTTTGTCCTGCACCTGGGCAGAAGCGGGCACACTCAGGAGCTCTGCCTACCTTGGCTGAAAACGCCGCAGAAGTCCGGGTGAGAGGCGCCTCCTGTACCCAGATTAGCCTGGGCAGGTGGGTTTCGGGCAGGCTCCAGACAGCGTGTGTTGCTTTTGTTTTATATGGAACCCGTCTGTTGCCACTGTCCTTCCTCACCGGCCTCTCTAGGACTAAACGTCCCCGTGTGCTCTCTGGAACCAGAGCTCAGGGCGGGGCTGTTGTGCAAGGGGCTGCAGCAGAACTGGACACGCTGGTGTGTGCCCCGGTCCCATGGGGGCCGCAGCCCCAGCATTACGGGGCGTGTGCAATGGAGAGGGGGCAGCACCCCACAGCGGGAGGTTTTCTGAGGGGCTCAGGCCCAGCTGTTGCTCACCCATGAGGCAAAGGGTGGGCTGGCCAAGTGGCTGCCAGGCTGGAGGGATCAGGGAGCTGGCACCCCCAACTAAGCACCAGCAGGATTCCTTTCTTGCCGCCCCCCACCCCCATCGTTTGCTGCAGGCCTTTGCTATCTGGCACAGAAAGCCCCTGGCTCCAGCAGTGCCTTTTTGTTGCCAGTGAAAATCCACTGGGCTTGGCCAAAATACATGTTAAAAATTCACCAGTTCCCGTCTTTCACCAGCGCAGAGGAAAGGGGGCAGCAGCCGAACTAATCACTGGCCATGAACACGGTGAAGAGCCGGGCTCACGCCAACACGCTTGAAGCAGCGGCAGCAGCAACAGACAGTGCCCTGGGAGAGCCCCTAATGAGGGGGAGAGCCCTGAGCACCCCGAGTACCTGCCCCTCATGGCCCATCCTCACCCAGCCTGGATAACAGTCTCCTGCTGCTGCCAGCTAGCGCAGTCAGTCCTGCAGCTCGCGGTCAGTGCTGGAGGGCGAGAGCCCAGGCGCTTCTGAGGATGCCTGGTGGGAGGCTCTTTGGGCCACATTTAAATAATGTTGTGTTACCATTATGCTTTAAGCCCCCTGGGAATGATGCACAAGAGGCCATTCCCAGAACGTCTTGCAGCTGCTGTGGGAAAGGCTGGCCATGGCCTAGCTGCTGAAGCTGTGGGTCTCTGGGGCTGATACAGAGTCATCCACCTGGGGGGAGGAGGGGGCATGTCATTTGACCTCCTTAGACCCCTCCCTGTGTCTGCACTAAATGTCCCTGCTCAGAGACAGGTCCCTGGGCAGCTCTATGGGCGGTGCTGTTCGGCGCATGGCTCTGTGGGCAAGTGACGATACAGAGCCGGGGTGAGCAGTAAAACAGAGCCATGCGTTTCAGGCTGCTCCCAGGGAAGCTGATTTCAGACAACACCCACTGACTGGGGAACTCCCTGCCACCAGACCGCATCGGGCCAGGGCTCAGCAAGCAACACGCCTCTCTCTGGGTAACAGGGATGTCCAGGGTCCCACAAAAGGGGCAGTGCCCCCCTTCCCCCTCCCCGTGGAGGCGATGAGAAGGCTCTGGCGGTGGGGGTTTGGGCATCTCAAATTCCCAGAACCCTGGGCACAGGGGCACAGTTCAGGACCTTATATCCTCCCTCTCCTGTGGCACAGATGTGATGGCACTGGATCTGCCTGTGTAACCACAGCTCTGCCCCGTGGGGCCCAGTGCTTCCCTGCTGGGCAGCGGGTACCAATGCCCTGGTGTGTGGTGTTCATGTGGGGAGGGGGCCCACAGGCTGAGGGCTCCCTGGCTGGCTGCATCCCAGCAGGGTGGGCTGCCCCTTGGACCCCATCACCCGCCCCAGGGCTGTTGACCCCCATCCCTGTTTACTGGGCTAGATTTACTGTCCCTCCAGGGAACACTGGCTAATCCCCCCGTCCCCGCCTTGAATCAGTGATTAAAGGGAAGCCAGATGCAGAGCCAACACCCCGTGCTGCGCGCCTGCTCTGCTCCAGGCAGATCGACTCTCCTGCCAGCCCCGGCCCAAACCACTTCTGTTTATCGCTGAGACACGTCACTATCTGCAGGCTCAAGGCGTCACAGCGAGAGAGCAGCCAAGGGACCTGGGGCTGCGGTGGGGAGCCGCCACAGCAGGTGCTGGGGGTCGGAAATGAGGGGCATCGTCAGAGAACTTGAGGGGGAGCCCGGGGCTGGGATAGCAGGGGCTGTGGGTTGGGATTGAGGGGCACTGGCAGAGCTGCCTGAGGGGAAGCCCAGGGCTAGCAGGGGCCAAGGGGCTGCAGGTTGGGATTGAGGGGCACTGTGGGGGTCAGCCCACACCTCCCCCTTCCTCACTCTGTGCTCCCTGGCTGTGCAGTGTCCAGCTGAGTTGTGACTCCCCTGGCCCCTGGCTCTGTGCCAGCCATTTCTAATTCTGCTCCTGGCCGCAAGCCAGCCTCCCTGCTCAGCCCTATGGAGGTCTGGCCCTGGTACTGCCCATAAATCACTGGCCGTGTCCTGGATTTGTCAGCGCCCAGCAGCACAGAGCCATGTATGTCATGGAATCCCACTGCACACGGCTGGCTGAGTCCAGGGGACGTAAGAACCGCCATACTGGGTCAGATCAAAGGTCCCTCTAGCCCAGTATCTTGTCTTCTGACAATGGCCAAAGCCAGGTGCCCCAGAGGGAATGAACAGAACAGGTAATCATCAAGTGATCCATTCCCAGCTTCTGGCAAACAGAGGCTAGGGACACTCTCGCTGCCCACCCTGGCTAATAGCTATTGATAGACCTATCCTAGTTCTTTTTTGAACCCTGTTATAGTCAGGGGGCTGGGGCTTCTGCCACCCAGTGCGTCCTGCCCACACTGGGGGCCACAGCAGATGGAAAGCTGCAGGAGCTACGCTCCACAGCCCAGCCACGGTGGGAAAATTGAGGCCCATAAAGGGACGGCTCTGCCTGCCGCTACAGAGTCCATCGGCTGAACAGAACCCAGGAGTCCTGGCTCCCAGACCCCCGCCCTAACCCACTAAACCCCACTCCCCTCCCAGCACCAGGGACAGAACCCAGGAGTCCTGGCTCCCAGACCCCTGCTCTAACCCACTAAACCCCGCTCCCCTCCCAGCACCAGGGACAGAACCCAGGAGTCCTGGCTCCCAGACCCCTGCTCTAACCCACTAAACCCCGCTCCCCTCCCAGCACCAGGGACGGAATCCAGGAGACCTGGCTCCCAGCCCCCTGCTCTAACCCACTAAACCCCACTCCCCTCCCAGCACCAGGGACGGAATCCAGGAGACCTGGCTCCCAGCAGCACTTCTCCCTCCCTGCTCTATTTCCTGGTCCCCTTTGAAGAATGTTTCTTTTTTCCTTTTTTGTGTGTGCAATATTTTTATGAAAACTATTCACAGAATCACAGATTCCAAGGCCAGATGGAACCATTGTGATCATCTAGTCTGACCTCCTGTATAACACTATGTATGACTCAGTTTCCCCACCCCCTGGTGCATGGCTCCTCACTGGCTGCGAATGGGTTGATTTCTCCTTGTGGAGTGGGCTGGCCTAGCTCAAGCTGAGTGTCATGGACGTTCTCTGGGTTGGGACCAGACACATTAACAAGATGCGATGAATTTGGAATTTTTTGTAATATTTTTATTAGTCAGCTGTGTGCCTCAGTTTCCCCCATTCTTTGCATGGCTACTCAGTGGGAGGAAACGGTCCAAGTTTGCTCTCAGGACAGGCTAAAAGACACTGGTGTGTATGTGTGTCACCTCCCAGTTTGGGTGCAATGAATTGAGTCATTAAGGAATTGGCTGAAATGGACCCAGATTAGCAAGGGGACAGGAGAGACAATGCCAGCTCCAATGACTCAAGGAATCCATTTTGAAGCACTTGGAGGAGAGGAAGGTGATCAGGAACAGTCAACATGGATTCACCAAGGGCAAGTCATGCCTGACCAACCTGATTGCCTTCTATGATGAGTTAACTGGCTCTGTGGATATTGGGAAAGTGGTGGATGTGATATATCCTGACTTTAGCAAAGCTTTTGATACGGTCTCCCACAGAATTCTTGCCAGCAAGTTAAAGAAGTATGGATTGGATGAATGAACTATAAGGTGGATAGAAAGCTGGCTAGATCGTCGGGCTCAACGGGTAGTGATCAATGGCTCGATGTCTAGTTGGCAGCCGGTATCAAGCGGAGTGCCCCAGGGGTCGGTCCTGGGGCCAGTTTTGTTCAACATCTTCATTAATGATCTGGATGATGGGATGGATTGCACCCTCAGCAAGTTCGCAGATGACACTAAATTGAAGGGAGAGGTAGATAAGCTGAAGGGTAGGAATAGGGTCCAGAGTGACCTAGACAAATTGGAGGATTGGGCCAAAAGAAATCTGATGAGGTTCAACAAGAACAAGTGCAGAGTCCTGTACTTAGGACAGAAGATTCCCATGCACTGCTACAGGCTGGGGACCGACTGGCTAAGCAGCACTTCTGCAGAAAAGGACCTGGGGATTACAGTGGTAATCCCCACGGTTTGATATGAGTCAACAGTGTGCCCTTATTGCCAAGAAGGCTAAAGGCATATTGGGCTGTATTAGTAGGAGCATTGCCAGCAGATCGAGGGAAGTGATTATTACCCTCTATTCGGCACTGGTGAGGCCACATCTGGAGTATTGCGTCCAGTTTTGGGTCTCCCACTACAGAAAGGATGTGGACAAATTGGAGAAAGTCCAGCAGAGGGTAACAAAAATGATTAGGGGACTGGGGCACATGACTTATGAGGAGAGGCTGAGGGAACTGGGCTTATTTAGTCTGCAGAAGAGAAGAGTGAGAGGGGATTTGATAGCAGCCTTCAACTACCTGAAGGTGGGTTCCAAAGAGGATGGAGTGCAGCTGTTCTCAGTGGTACCAGATGACAGAACAAGGAGCAATGGTCTCCAGTTGCAGTGGGGGAGGTCTAGGTTGGATATTAGGAAACATTATTTCATTAGGAGGGTGGTGAAGCACTGGAATGGGTTACCGAGGGAGGTGGTGGAATCTCCATCCTTAGAGGTTTTCAAGGCCTGGCTTGATAAACCCTTGGCTGGGATGATTTAATTGGTGTTGGTCCCGCTTTGAGCAGGGGGTTGGACTAGATGACCTCCTGAGGTCCCTTCCAACCCTGATATTCTATGATTCTATGAGTCCTGGAATGACACTGGGAGCAGGGAAGCTGGGCACAGACCCCAACTGGAGAACAGAGGACTGGGACTGAGACTAAGTGTGGGATTCTGGGTCTGGAAGAAAGCTTGGGGCTCTCACTTGGGAACGACTGAGGAAGTCAGAGAGACACACAGATCCTGAACACATTCCCTACAGCTCAGCGGGGCCAGAATGGGCTCTGCTTGAACCTCAGCTCTCTGTGTTAAGCTAAGGACTTCCTAGGCTGGATGCCACTCGGTAGCCCTGTAAATCTATGCTGGGTGCATGAATCCCTGCAGTGCGCACAAGATCTCCCAGGAGTCTGGCTCAGCGGCACTCGCTGGGCAGAGCTCGCAGGAGGGAGGGAGCCCAGAGGCTCAGGCTATGTCTTCACCGCTGCAGTGTAGCCCCTCACTACAGCAGCAGGGGACTCTGCGCAATCCCTCTCCCCGAGAGGTGGTAGCTAGGTGGATGGACGAATTCTCCCGTGGACCTAGCGCTGTCTGCACTGGGGGTTAGGACGGCTTACCTGTGCCCAGCAGGGGTGTGGATTTCTCATACCCTTGAGCCACGGAGCTGGGTCAACCTTACTTTTGAGTGTAGACCCAGATGGTGAGGCTCTGTGGCTCCCCCTGGGGGTCTGGCAGGCTGAAGTGTCTCCTCCTGGGGCTGTTTAGAAGCTATGGCGTAGCACTGATCCTGGGGAGCTGTGACACAAGGCCTGGCTGGAATCAGCACACACAGCTGGAGCCAATGCTGGGGAAGCTGGACAGCAACTGGGGGAAGAGGCAGGAGGTGTCGGTGGCTGTTTATAAGGTGCCAGAGAAACCCAGGATGTGAGGAGCTTGGACTTGGACACACAGGGACAGAGACAGAGCCAAGGTGGATCCCAAGGAGGCAGAGCCAGGGGACGGGTGAGGAGCCAGAGGGCAAATGCTCCTTCCCATAGTGACTGTCTGCAGTGCAGCTTCCCCAGGCTATGATAATGACTCTCCCACGCTGAGTCCAGGCGACTATTAAATGCGGCTTGTCTTGAATGGGCCGCGCTTCCTCGCTGCACACGCTCCCTGGGGTGTCACTTCCTGTTGGGATTGAGCCTCTAAACAGCTTAGTGCTCAGCAGAAAAACAGGCTGTCAGCCAGGAGCGTGTCAAAAGGGCAGGGCAGAGCACAGACCCTGCCAACTCGGGACTTCCAACACAATTTCTGGGGAACTGCACCTTTGACCGCCCTTCCATGGTCTGCTCCAGAAAAGCCCCTCCGGTCTCAGGGCTCTCTCTGGGCAGGGTCCCACGTCCCACTCCCTCCAGAGCAGGGGTTTAGGCTGCACCTCTTTGCCACTCGCCCAGCAACGGCAGTGGTGCCTGGAGAGCAGCCAGCAGAATACAGACGTCTGAGAAACGCCTCCCAGAGAACAGACAGTTCTCCCCGGACTCTGCTCGGAGCAGAACTTCCCGCCGCCTGCCCGGGGCTCTGGCAGGAATCCAGCAGTGCAGCTCCCTCCTTGGCCCAAAGGTCAGGTCCGTCTGATGGCCCCTCGCTCGGGCTGAACTCAGCCTTTCACAGCAGACGCCTTTTCTTTGTCTCTAGGCCTCTGGTCCCTGGCTGAGCCAGCCTATGCCAGCCACCCTGGGCGGGGGACGTCTCTGGAGCGGTTTCCAGTTGCCGGCAGGGACAGCAGTGACCCCTCTCCCCCACTGCTTCCAGCTCCTCGGGGAGTGGCAGGGTCCCTCCCACATGGAGTCGCCCACAGTGACCTAGAGCACGTTCATACTGCTAACCTCATAAGGCCCCCGCAGATCCCACCTGTGGTTGCAATCTGTGCCCCAGCTGCCCTGCTCCAGCCCGCTAGGCTGCCTGGGTCCATGGCCCCAAGTACTGGCTCCCCAGGGAAGCTGACGGAGCTCCAGCTGGTCCAGGGCAGCTCTGTAGCGGGGGCCCTGCCGCACCATCCTGGCCCCTGCCCCCCTTGCAGCCTGCCCCATGGGAGCAGCCAGCCCAGTGCTGCCCCAGCTGCAGCAATTCCCCAGGGCAGCACCTGTGTGCAGCAGGGGGCAGATGCATCCTCGTTACCTCCTGGGCTGCACGGCTCATTAGCGCAGCAGGACCTAGTTGGGTCACAGTGCGGAGGGACAATCCAGCCCCACAGGGAGCAGGGCAGGACGCTCTCCCCTCAGTCACCGCTGGCTTTAGTGCAATGACACATGGGGATATGAGACGAGGCAAAACCAAGGTCCTTTTGATGTGTCATTACAGCTCCCTGAAGGGGCTGAGCCTTGCACCCCACTCCACACCAGCTCCAGCATGGGCCCACTGGTCATAGGGCCTAGCCATGCCCTTGGTGCACTCCTGCCGTGGCTGGACGGCAGCCAGAGGGCTGTTGTGTAACGGGGGGGGGGGAGGAGGGGTGTTGCTTCACATGCAACAAATTTAGCTGCGTGGGTGAGATCTCTCATCACCATTCCAGGGATCAGCACGCTGGCCGCTGGCCTGCCAAGTTCTGTATGTGTGTGCATAGCTCTACGTCTGTGTGTGACGCTGGCAGACCAGGTGTCCACTCGCGCCAAGGCCCCTAGGTCTTGACTGAAAGCCGACAAACCCATCGCTGGAACCAGTCTGGCTCCTCTGTGTGTTAGTGTTGTTAAAATAGGTATTAGAGTTATAAGAATGTGTTTAGTGCTTAGACTTTGTGAAATGCTTGTGAGCTGCCGCGTGCATGAATCGCATTTATAACAGCGGTATCCCACGCTATAAGATTATGTTGGGGTTACTAGGCCTGCCTGAGCCAAAGTTCTTCCATGTTTAAACTCTGTCCTTCCATGTTTAACTCTGATCGACCTCAAAAGCCAAGGACAGGAATTGGAATGTGTAAACAGCTAGTTAGCAATTACGACCTTGTTCATACCAGGTAACAAACAATAACGATGAGGTTTGCATGTTTCTAGCTGTGGAAGGGGTAATAAACTAAGGGTAAACAGAACCAAATAACTGTTTAGGGAGAAGTTACTAACAAGCTAGATTTATAGCCCTAGAATGATTTAATTGCTTAAATGTATAAACATGCCTTCGGTAGAGAGGGGAGGGGGAGTAGAGTGGGGGTGGTAGAGAGGGGGAGAGGGGGGGGCTTAGTTGTAAAATGTATAAAGAAGAGAGAAACTGTTTTTGCTGGTGTGCTTGATTTGAGACTTGCCTGTCTCCTTGCACCACTTGGAGATCTCAAATAAACTTTGATTGTTTCTCCACCCCGGTATGTTTATTGGCGGGAAGCACTCCGGGCAACGAACCCCACTGTTGCTGTCCTCGGGCCCCTGTGCCGGCAACAATTATATTTAAGGGTTTGCTCTGTAACTATAAATCTCCAGACAGGAGAGAAGCATTAACCAGTTTGAAATACTAGTTCCCAACAGGAGGTGTTATCCCCTGCCCAACAAGAAGACCCATCAACACCAGAGGAACTATTGTGGAATATCAGAGGACAAAAGACTTTGTTGTTTGCTCCCCCACCTCACAAAGAGGAAATGGCAAGCGAATTCCTTCCATCAACTGAATTTGCAGATCAAAGCAGGAGGGAAGGAATAAAAACCCTTACAAGTCTGCTTGGACTCTGAGAGTATGTGTACAGACGCTCCCCGAGTTACGCAAGGCATTCCGGAACGGAACACTTGCGTAAGTCAGGGAGTGTTTGTACACAACAACTACACACTCATGGCTGGCCCGTGCCAGCTGACTTGGCTCTAGGGGCTTAGGCTGTGGGGCTGTTTCATTGCTGTGTAGACTTCTGGGCTCGGACTGGAGTCCGGGTTCTTGGACTCTGTGAGGTGAGAAGGTCCCAGAACTCGGGCTCCCGCCTGAGCCAGGAAGTCTATACAGCAATGAAACGGCCCCACAGTCCAAGTCTGCTGGCATGGGCCAGCCCCAGGTGCCTAACTACTGTGTAGACATTGCTTGAAGGGCAAGGGTCATTAAGCACAAGTAAAAGATCCCCAGTGCTTAGCATGGGTTAGCCCTGAAGGACACACAGAGTTTGCTTGTCATAGAAGCATCTATTACTTTTTGAAACTTGAGACTGAAACTCATTTGTGTACCTGCTTTAACCTTGTAAATAACTCTCATTTCCTTTTCCTATAAAATACATCTTTAGTTTATAACAGGACTGGCTACAAGCATTGTTTTTGGTGTGAGAGATAAGGTGCAATTGATCTGGGGTACATGGGCGCCAGGTTTGTGTAATTTTTGGTGGTGCCCAGAATGGGTGCAAGCAGAGCCGTCCCGTCCATAGGACAGACCTGGGCAACCGCCCCAGGCCCCATGCTTTGGGGGGCCCCGCGCTTCAGGGGGACGTGAGGTCCATGATGGCCTGGGGAGTTAGCGGGAGGGCCTGGGGCCGGCAGCAGCGAGTGACCCGGCCCCAGCCCGCTCTGCCCTGCCCCGCAGGCTCCCGGTGTTGCTTGGGGGCTGAAGACAGAAAGAGGCAGGGTGGGGGTTTGGGGGAAGGGGAAAGGGGTGGAGTGGCGGCAGGGCCCATCAATCACAGAGCCCATCTATCACAGAGGTAAAATCATCTGGGCGGCAAGACAGCTTCAAGAACCCAAGGGAACTGTCTGTGACTCCACGGTCAGGCTATATAGTGCTTGAGGAGTTCCCACTGGATACTTGGCTTGTGAAATGTAAGTATAGAAATCACAGCCAGTTTGGGGCGTGTGCCCTGCTTCTTAACAGTCTGCCCTGAGATTGGTACTCATGCGCCTGAGCCACTGCAGGACACCTTGCCAGTGTATATGTGACAGTAGCGTGCGAGTGTCGAGCTGTGTGTGTGCACAAAGCTGTGTGTGTGTGTGTACACAGCTGTGTGTACATGTGCATAGCTGAGCTCTGTGATTATGTGTGAGTAGTTGTGTGTGTGTGTGTGTGTGTGTAGTTGTGTGTAGCTGACTGGGGGGCTGTGTGTAAGTGTGCATAGCTCCGTGTGTGTAGAACTGTGTGTGCACACAGCTGGCTGTGGAGGGGTTGGGGTGTGTGTGTGGGTCTGTGTGTGTATGTGGCTCAGTGTGCGGTGGGCCTTGGTATGCGTGCATTACTGCATCCCATTGCCCCCTGCAGGTTGGAGGGGGAACTGCTTGCTGTGTGCCCTATCCCCTGCCCAGCTGGTACTGGGGCTCTGTCATCGAGGGACAGGGGGTGCAAGATCTGTCCCCTGGGCACTGGAGTGTTGGGGAGGTTGACAGGCTGTGGTTCCTCAGGAGAACCCCCACCATTGCCGGTGGGGATCGCAGCAGCATATGGGCTGAGGTGCCTGTCCAACCGAACTAGGATCCCTGGTGCCACACGTGTGATGAAGGTCCCAAGGCAGACAGTGGGGAGCCCCTAGGCGTGGAGGAGCTGGGGGGACAGGCCTTGGTGAGCTGACACGTGTGTGGACAAGGAGCTGGAGCAGCAAGGGGGCAATGCAAGGCCTGAGGGAGGGGAGGGGTCAGTTCAATCCTGGGAGTCTATGGCTCACCTGGTCATGTGGGTCACAACTGGTTCAAGACGGTCACACCCTGCGGGGGCAGTACCCCAACTGCCTAGCGCCTGATGTGGGCAGCGGTATGTCATCTAAGGGACAGGACCCTTGGGGAGGGGCTGGGAGCCAGGACTCCTGGGTTCTCTCCAGGTGAAGCACAGACTGGTGTACGAGACGCAGTCTATCCAGGCCCTGCCGCCCTTGGGGGCTGGGCGAACTGCACCTGGAGCCCAGGCAGTAGCGACGTGACCCAACGTTGGGCCCGGACACCCCGTCCCCAGCTGCAGGGCCCTTGGCGCCGCCGCCATCACTGCCCCGCCTCGGGGAGTCTCCCACCCGCCTGCTGGGGGCTCGGCCCGCGGGGGCAGCAGGCTCCAGTGGGGACGGGCCCGGGCTGCCCGAGGGGCGACACTGCTGAGCCTCCCGCGCCGGGGGGACGGAGCTGCCCGGCGCCCACAGACGGCGGCTGGTGGGACCCACCCGCCTGGCCCAAGTGGGGGCAGGAACTGAAGTGCCTCAGGGCCGAGCCAGTGGGGTCACCGCAGGGTCAGGGGTCACCACATGGGGTCATTGGGGGGCGAGTCCGATGATGCTCCGCCTGGCCCCTGCGCAGCCCCTCACTGGCTGTCACCCTGGCGACCTACACCCTGACGTCATCCCTCTGTGGGTGCGGGGAGGCCTTACCTCACCGCGTGGTGACGTCCCCATCTGGCGATGACGTCACTCCACCGCGAGGCGGGGCTTCTCTCCATCCCGGCCTCGGATTAGCCCCGCCCCCAGCTGCCCTCACCCAACATGGCCGCCCGCCTCGTTCGGGCCGTCTAACGGACTCCGTCTACCAGCCTGCCCCGCGCGGAGGCAGCCGGCCAATGGGCGCGGGCGGAGGGGGCAGGGCCCGCGCGCGGCCCGGTGGTTAGTGTGCGCGCGGTAAAGGTTGGGTGTCTCGCGCCGGCGGCCGTTGGGAGGCAGGAGCGGCCCCGCCCCCTCGCTCCCCCCCGCCAGGCGGCTCGCCCCCCCGCTGGGAAGGGGCCCGGGCACGAGGCAGCGAGGCGGGCGAACAGCCCCTCCCCTCCGCAGGTGAGATTGCAGGGGCCTAGAGGGAGGGGTGGCGGCGGGCGCTGTGTTTAAAGGGGCGGGGCCGCTCTTAAAGGGGCAGGCACGCGACGCCGATTTTGTGTCTGCTGGCCTGTGTCAAGGGGCGGGGCGAAGGGCTCTTAAAGATGCAGTGCCGGTGGGGCCCAGGGGCGGCATGGTGGTTAAAGGGGCAGGCGGGGCGGCCGTTAAAGGGGAGGTGCTGTAGGCCCTGCCCCCAAGGGGCAGCTCTCCCCTTATTTACTGCCCTCCAGACAGTGGGGGGAGGGTGTCTGCCAGAGAAATGTAATGGGGGCTGTTCCCAGGGGGGCTGTGTAACGCGGGGGGCTGTATTCATGTGGGGAGCAGGCAGTATCCAGGGGGGCTGTGTAATGCTGGGAGGACATGTACTCATGGGGGGGAGAACTGTACCTGGGGGGCTGTGTGGCACGGGGACTGTAATCATGTGGGGAGGGGGCTGTGTAACACAGGGTGGGGGCTGTACCCAGAGAGGGCTGTATAACTAGAGAGGGCTGTACCTGGGGGGCATGCGCTGTGTAACACTGAGCGGGGGGGCGGGGGGGGCAAATAGTTCTTCACACAAGCTCCCCGCATGTTGTTGCAGCAAGCGGGGCCAACGGGACCCTGTGCTGGAATAGCTGGAGCATTGCAGGTGGAAGCAGAGAGGTTATTTTCTTTCTTTATATGGCACTAGTGGAACCACTGCTGTGATCCTAGGTCTAGTCCTGGTGCCCGCAATTGAAGAAGGATGTTGATGAGCTGGAGAGGGGTCAGAGAAGAGCCATGAGAATGATTAAAGGGCTAGAAAAGCCGTCTCAGAGTGATAGACTCAAGAAGCTCAATCTATTTACCTTAACAAGAGAAGGTTAAATGGTAACCTGATTACAGTCTATAAGTACCTGGGAACCAAATATTTAATAATGGGCTCTCAATCTAGCAGTGAAAGGTAGAACATGAGCCAATGAATGGAAGTTGAAGCTGCACAAATTCAGACTGGAAATATTGTGTAAATTTATAACAATGAAATTAATTAACCCTTAGAACAATTTACCAAGGGTTGTGATGCATTCTCCATTGCTGACAATTTTTAAATCCAGATTTGATATTTCTTTAAAAGCTCTGCTCTAGGTATTATTTTGGGACAGGTCTCTGGCCTGTGCTATGCAGGAGGTCAGACTAGATGATCACAATGGTCTTTTGGGCCTTTGAATCTCATTAACAGCATGACAGAGCAGCGAGCATGAGTCAGGGCAGGACGTGTCAGGCCCAATGACAGGGACGAGTGGGGATATGGTTCGGCTTTGTGACATCTAGCAAGTTTCCAGCCAAAATCCTGTTTGGATCTCAGAAATCACTGCTGGATTTGTTAACAGCCACCACGTGCCAGACCAGACACAGCCGCATTTCAAGGCTGTGCTCCCAGGGAGCTAGGCTGTCACCAACGCAGCAGCAGGACACATCCTGGCTGGTACTCCCAAAGTGGGGTCAGCATCCACTCAGGTAACAGCAGGCTGTACTCAGTTGCGTGGTAAGCAGGTGGGAGCCAGAGCAGTGGGTGCAGGATTGATTCCTTTACTAACCCTGCTTTGAAAGAATGCTGCAGAGAGTCCCAGCAACCAAGGGGTTAATGTGAACCATGAGGTTCATAATTAGAAGACAAATCCCCCTTTTGTATTCCAGAATAAAGCCGGAGTCACCCCCTGACTGCTGGGGGATCAGGATTCTGATCTCAGTTCCCCCAAGACTGATCTGGAGTTACTGTGCCATCGCGTTGGCCGGCTCTGGGTGACACTGGGTTCTAGGTGGCTACAGGCTCTGGGTAGCTGCAGATTCTGGCCTGGCCGATAGTGGGCTCTGGCTAGCAGTGGGCTCTGGGTAGGTGTGGGCTCTGGCTGACAGTGGGCTGTAGGTAACTGCGGGCTCTGACCCGGTTGTTGGTGTTCTGCTGACCTGCCCCCTCTTTCCCTGCAGGCTTGGGTGAGATGGTGGGAGCCCAGCAGCTGGAGATGGCGGAGATGCAGCCAGCACCAATGCCGCAGCCAGGCACCAGCGACCACCAGTATGAGTGTCTGGAGTGTGGCAAGGTGTTCAAGTGGTCATCGCGGCTGATTCACCACCAGCGCACGCACACGGGTGAGCGCCCCTACAAGTGCTCCGAGTGCCCCAAGGCCTTCAAGGGTTCGTCAGCACTGCTTTACCACCAGCGCAGCCACACAGGCGAGCGCCCCTACAAGTGTGCTGACTGCGGCAAGGCCTTCAAACGCTCGTCGCTGCTGCAGATCCACCAGAGCGTGCATACGGGCCTGCGCGCCTTCAAGTGTGCTCTGTGCGGCATGGCCTTCAAGTGGTCATCACACTACCAGTACCATGTGCGCCAGCACACAGGCGAGCGCCCCTACAAATGCACGTTGTGTGAGAAGGCCTTCAAGAACTCATCCAGCTTGCGACGCCACCGCAACATCCACACGGGTGAGCGCCCCTATGTCTGCGCCGCCTGTGGGAAGGCCTTCACCCAGTCCACCAACCTGCGGCAGCACCAGCGCATCCACACAGGCGAGCGACCCTACCAGTGCACCGAGTGCCCCAAGACCTTCACCCACTCCTCCAATCTGCTGTTGCACCAGCGCACCCACACCGGGGGCCGGGCCCACAAGTGTCAGGCCTGCGGCAAGGCCTTCATCTCGGACGCCTACCTGCAGAAACACCTGCAGACACACACGGCCAAGCCACTGGCACCCTACAGCGAGGCGGAGCTGGCCTGCACGCCGGCCGAGCTCTTCCTGGCTCCGGCCGAGCCAGTAGAGACGGTGGAGATGCTGTGGAAGTGTGGGGAATGCGAGCTGACCTTCCCCAGCGAGGAGCTGCTGCTGGGTCACCAGCAGAGCCACCTGACTCCCGCTGCGCCCGCTGAGCTGCCCATCCCGCCACTCTACTCCTGTGCTACCTGTGGCAAGGCCTTCAAGAATGGCTCGGGCCTGGCACGCCACCAGCACAGCCACGTGGGCGAGCGCCCCTACAAGTGCTCCATCTGCGAGAAGACATTTGTGCAACTCTCCAGTCTGCTTGGGCACCAGCGCAGCCACCCGGCCGAGCAGCAGCTCATCCAGGCTGAGGCCGAGGTCACCTGTCCCCAGACCGCAGCTGAGCCGGTCCCGCCCCCCGTGCCTCCAGAGGTGGCTGAGCGCCCCTACAAGTGCACCGAGTGCGGCAAGGCCTTCAAAGGCTCATCGGGGCTGCGCTACCACCTGCGTGACCATACCGGCGAGCGCCCCTATAAGTGCTCGGAGTGTGGCAAGGCCTTCAAGCGCTCCTCACTGCTGTCCATCCACCAGCGTGTGCACACCGGCCTGCGCGCCTTCAAGTGTGCCGAGTGTGGCCTCACCTTCAAGTGGTCGTCGCATTACCAGTACCACTTGCGCCTGCACACAGGCGAGCGCCCCTATGGCTGTGCCGACTGCGGCAAGGCTTTCAAGAACACCTCGTGCCTGCGGCGGCACCGCCAGCTGCACACAGGTGAGCGCCCCTTTGCCTGTCTGGTGTGCGGCAAGGCCTTCACCCAGACCTCCAATCTGCGGCAGCACCAGCGCACCCACACAGGCGAGCGCCCTTACAGCTGCCAGGAGTGTGGCAAGAGCTTCACCCACTCCTCTAACTTGCAGCTCCACCAGCGCACGCACTCCAGTGAGCGCCCCTTCAAGTGCTCCATCTGTGCCAAGGGCTTCGTCATGGCCTCCTACCTGCAGCGCCACCTGCGCACCCATGCCACCGAGGCCAAGGGGGAGGGCCCGGCCCCAGGCCTTCCTGCCCCACCTGCCACCCAGGAGGTGCACATTGTGCCCAACCTGCAGGCCACCCTCAACCTGGAGGTGGGCACCGCCCCCAGTGCCCCCAACTCGCAGACCTTCCTGCTGGTGCAGACGGCTCAGGGGCTGCAGCTCATCCCCAGTGTCCAGCAGAGCCCCCAGAAGCTGCTGCTTCTGCCCAGCCCACAGCTGGTGCCCACGCAGCAGAAAGTGCCCATCCTCCAGAACACCCCCAATTTCACACTGGTGCCCAGCAGCTCTGTGGCCCCAAGCAACCCTGCCCCGCGCCAGCAGAGCAAGGGTAGGAAGCCGGCAGCACCTGGCAACCCCCAGAACATTATCCTGGTGCCGGGAGGTGGGCCGGCGTTGCCCAGTGTGCAGATCCAGGCGCTGCCAGGCACACAGCGGGCACCGGTCCTCCCGGCTGGGCAGAACATCATCGTGCTGCAGAACGTGGCTGAGCCACCCCCTGCAGAGGTGTCTGGTGTCCGGATCCAGGCTCAGCCTCAGGAGGTGGCCAGCATCCAGCTGCAGGCCCTGCCACCACCCCCTGCTGAGGCATCCAGCATGCAGGCTCTGCCTCAGCCCCCGGAACTGGGCAGCATGCAGCTGCAAACCCTGGCACAGCCTCCCCCAACAGGGGGTGAGGAACAGCCCCTGCCTTGCTCCTCAGCACTTCCGGGCACGGTGGGTTCCGGGCCAGAGGTGTCTGGCCTGCAGGAGAGCCAGGACCTGCTGGTGGTGCAGAGCGGGCCAGGGGAGGAGCTGCTGGGGTCGGGTGGCGAGGTAGGTGTGCACCTGGAGACACTTCAGACAGAGGAGGGGGTGCAGAGCGTGCTGGTGCTGCGTGGCGCTGACGGTGAGCAGACCCGACTCTGCGTGCAGGAGGTGGAGAACCTGCAGGAACTGCCCCCAGACAGTGGGGTGGGGGGCCTGGCACCATCCTCAGGGCAGAAGCTCTTCATCATTCGCAGCGCGCCCGGTGAGCAAACCCTGCAAGTGCTGGAGAATGTGGGCTCTGGCAGTGGCATGGTGCGGGGGGTGGCACCGGGTGGGCAGCCCTCCACCACCAGCACCCAGATGGTACAGCTGCTGCCAAGCCCAGTGCCACCCCCACAGGAACTGTCCTCCATCCAGATCGTGCAAACGGTGCCCAGCGTGCAGCTGGTTCACACCTTCTGAGCCTCTGGCCACAGATGCCAGCCGGAGGGTGTGCAGCTTGGGTTGGCATCACAGAATCTGCCAGAGCTCTTGCTCCCAGTGGGCGTCCCCCACCCCCATTTTCCTGCCCGTGCAGCCTAGAGACAGCAGGATGCCCCCACATGATGACCATCATGGGCAGCAAGCTGTGGGACTCGTGCAAGCAGCCTAACTCTGCTTCGCCCTCGCTATCCTGGCTGCAGCCTCCTGGGGTGCAGGGCTGGTGTCTGTGCCGCAGTCAGAGCCACACTGGCATCAGCTGTGCTGGGACAGGATTGCCCAGCAGCGCTGTGATCTAGGAAGGGCAGGGCCTGGCACAAAAGGAGTCCTTTGCCCACCCCTTGGCAGGGTCAGCGTAGTGAGCTGAGCAGGGCCCTCATCCATTGCCATTTCCTGACACTCCCCCATGTCAGGCCTAAGGACAGTGACAGATACTCCTGTCTGCTAGTTAAAGCACAGGCCTGGGAGCCAGGATTCCTGGGTTCCGTCCCTGGCTCTGGGAGGGGAGTGGGGTCTAGTGGTTTAAGTGTATGTGGGGAGGGCAGGAGGGGGAATGGTTTGGGAACTAGGACGCCGGGGTTCTCTAGGGGGCTGGGTGACCCTGAGCAAGTCCCTTCCTGGCTGTGGCGTTTTCACTGCTGTGGGCTGGGACCAGCACTCAGGGCTGGGAGGCTGAGTGCATGAATAAAAGTCGGGAGCTCTGCAATCACCAGGTGAGGGGAGCAGCTGGCACTTGCCACTCCACAGGGGTGAGGGGTTCCCATGGCTCTGGCAGGCAGAAGACTGGCATGAGAGTAACTGCCACCTCCTGTACCCCTGTCCTGGCAACCAGGTAATACCTGCTTCCTGAAGCCCTGGCTGCCTCTGTAGGCAGAGCACCCCCAGTCTCTTCCAGAGCCCACTGTGTATGATGGCGCCTGGCGCTGTCCCAGGGGGTGTGGCTCCTTCAGTCTAGAAGGCAAATAAATGACTGCTTCAAAAGCGCCTCTGTTTGGTTTGTTCAGTGCTGGGGACGCAGCCTCACCTCCACCCGTATGTGCTCAGACACAGAGATGGGTCCCTGTGCTGGAGCAGCTGGGGGAGAGGGGCCCAGGGACCTGCCGGGCCTGAGGAGTGTTCATCAGATAATTCTTGTGCTGGGGGCTGCGGGGCTTTGCCACAGCAACGCAGCAATCCGTGCTGGTCAGTCAGTCAATGCCCCTGGATGGTGCTTGGGGGCCTGTACTGCAGAGAGTGGGGTGGGGCTCAGCAAGGGCCCCTTTGCCCCCCATAGCCTGCACTGTATATTTGACTCCTGAATATGTGTTGGGTGGGGCCTGCCTGTTGGGTCAGTGGGTCCAGCTCGGCTTGTCCCCTTGCTCACTGGTCACCAGATCTGGCTTGGCTCACTTGGTCCAGCTCAGCTCGCTCATTAGTCATTGGGTTTGGCTCAGCTTGTCCCCTCACTCGGTTACTGGGTCTGGCTCAGCTCACGCACTGGGTCCGGGTTGCCGCTCATTGGTTGTTAGATCTGGGTCAGCCTCACACCAGGTCACTGGATCCAGAGTGGCTCGCCCTCTCACTCATTGGTCACCAGGTCCCCCTGGGTCCAGCTTGGCTCACCCCCTCGCTCAATAGCCACCAGGTCCCGCTTGGCCTGCCAGCCAGATCACCGGGTCTGTCTCGGCTTGCCCCCTTGCTCATGGGTCAATGGGTCTGGCTCAGCCCACCCCCTCACTCATGGGTCTGGCTCTGCCCACCCTCTCACTCATGAGTCAATGGGTCTGGCTCGGCCCACCCCCTCACTCATGGGTCTGGCTTGGCCTGCCCCCTCACTCATGGGTCAATGGGTCTGGCTCGGCCTGCCCCCTCACTCATGGGTCTGGCTTGGCTCACCCCCTCACTCATGGGTCAGGCAAGCGTGGCAGGAGCCTGGCTCTGGGGTGGCCATTGCAAGAGCCCTCATAGCAGTGCCATGGGTCAGGGGGCCATGGCCCCCCCACCTCCAGGGATTGGCGCCTATTTGGTGAGAGCCCCAGGAGGAGTCCCCATCCCTGCACACGCCCCACTGTCCTCTTGCAGGACCCGGCCTCGGCCTCCTCGCACCCCTCACTGCGAGGCAGGCCCTATGCGGCCCAGTAGGCCGCACTTGCTGCCATAGCAACGGTTGCTAGGTAGTGCCAGGGCGGGTGGGGGAAGACACGGAGGAGTGAGCTGCGGCGCATGCGTACTGTGCAGGAGGAGCGAGGCTGCCGCTGGCTGCGCACTGGGCTGGGGTGAGAGGCTCTGAGAGTGTGGAGCGGACCCATTGCCCACAGCGGCGTGGGGGTTGGGGGTGGCGGGGGTTGTGGGAGGTTCCATTGTTCACTGTGGGCTGCCGGGGCGCTCCATCGCCTGTGCTGCGGGGGCCGCATTCTCTGGGAGGAGGACTGTACCATTCTGTTCTTGGGGGGGAGGAGGGTTGGAGGGGCGGGCAGTCCCATTCCTTTAATTGGGGGAAGGGCAGTGGTTGCAGGGATGGGCAGTCCCATTCCCTTTAATGGGGGGAGGGGCATATCCATTATCTCTAGGGCACTGGGGTGGGGGGAGCGCTCACTGTTTGGGGGCTACTCTACCTCTGGCAGGGGAGCAGCAGGAGAGCAAAGGCCACATCAGTGGTGAGAGCTGCTTCTGCCTCACCTTGTCTCTGGCCCCTCTGCCACCTGGGCCATGGGGCCCTTCCCCCTCTAGGGGGCGCTGGCTCCCACCCAGCCCCAGGGCAGGGAATGGCTGGCTTGGGGTGTGGGGAATGGGCCATGGGGCCTTTCCCCTCTAGGGGGCGCTGGCTCCCACCCGGCCCCAGGGCAGGGAATGGCTGGCTTGGGGTGTGGGGAATGGGCCATGGGGCCTTTCCCCTCTAGGGGGCGCTGGCTCCCACCCGGCCCCAGGGCGGAGAATGGCTGGCTCGGGGGGTGGGGAATGGGCCATGGGGCCTTTCCCCTCTAGGGGGCACTCTCTCTGCTCCTGCCTGGGAATACCCTGTGGATTCAGCCTGCTGGGCCTGCCCAGCTCTTCTCTGTGCTGCAGTCGCTAAATGACTCTAGTGCAGTGATGGGTGGCACTGGCCTGGGGGCAGAGCTGGCTCAGCAGGGCCTGCTCTCAATGCTGGGCGAGTGAGCCATTCAGAGTCTCACCAGGCCTGCGAGGGGAAAGAGAAGACGCCAGCACTCAGCCTTGTCTCCTGCCTTGCAGGTGCTGTCACTCCCGCCAGACGTGATGCCCATGCTGGACCCTAGCCAGCTCGCTATCCGTGAGATGCAGGAAGATGAGGAGCAGATGGTTCTGGAACTGCTAAAGGTCTGGGGAGGGGCCAGTCAGTGCCTGTCTGTCCGGCCTTGGAGCTGTCTGTCTGTCCGTCCGTCCGTCCAAGCTCTAACCCTCTGCCTGCCTTTAGCACCTGCCCTGTGGGGATCTCAAAGCTAGTGAATGATCCTGCATGTCCCCCTGCCCCTAGCCTGATGTAGCAGGTCAGTGTGAATACCATTATTCATGGAGGAAACTGAGGCGCAGAGAGCTGAGGCAATCGACCCTTGAAGTCACACAGGGTCAGCGCAAGACCTGCCATTTCCTGCTGTGAGCACTAGACCCTGCTGGTCTCCAAGGTACAGAGCTAGAACCCAGGAGTCCTGCCGGCTGCTCCTTTCCCTCTACCCCTGGCCTTTGTGCTCTATGTGCAGTACCTGTGAGAAATGCATGGGATTGAGGCCCCGTGTCCCACCCTGTGGCTGTGGTGCCCTTTCAGGTGGGGTCACATCCCTCAGGGAAAGCTGCTGCCCGTGACGAACCCGACATCACAGCCTGATCCTACGCTGCACTTTCCCCCCCCCCCACCTCCCCGTTTGTCCTGGCTCTGCTGTCCTTGTGCCAGGCCCTGCTGATATGCCCTTTCCCCCCCAGGATGGGTTCAAGGACACGGAGAACCGGCTGATCCTGTATGTCCTGACGCGGCCCCTGGCGCTGCTGCTCCTGGCCGTGGTGAGCAGCGGCCTCCGCTTCCTGCTCAACTCCTTTGTAGCGGCGCTGCTGGGGCCCGTGCTCCTCACCATCCTGGCCCTCAAGCTGCTGCTGCGGCGCTCGCCGGACCTTGGCTGCCTGGGCGCGTACTACCGCTCGGGGCAGCGTGGGCTCTGGGTGGCGGTGTACGACGGCGACGATGTGTGCGGCTGCGTGGCGCTGCAGCCCTGCCCGCAGGGGGTGACCCGCACGGCTGAGCTGAGGCGTTTGGCCGTCAGCCGCTGGTACCGGCGCTCCGGCGTGGGGCGCTGCCTGGTGGCCTTCCTGGAGGCCCAGGCCCGGGCGCAGGGCTATGAGCGTGTGGTGCTCTACACCGCCGTGGTCACCAAGGCTGCCATCAGCCTCTTTGAGAGCAGCGGCTACCGCCCCACTGGTGGGCGCAGCTGGCTGGGCTATACCATCCTGCAGGAATTCAGCAAGGAGCTCTAGCACCCGCTGCCCCCCTTCTGCTGGGTCGGGGGAGTGACTTGTAGGGAGCAATTCTGGCGAAGGGCTGGCGGGCCGCATCCGTCCTCATGCCCAGGAGTCCCTCTGCTCCATGGATGTGGGATTTGGGGTGCGGCAGCCCCAGCCTTCTTTCCCAGGACAGCAGTGCCACCTCTTCCTTGACTGGAAACAGCCTGTTTTGGATGAGTCCCTTGCTGGAGCTTCAGCTGGACAAGACCGGCCGGACCTGATTGTGACGGGAGGGGGGGAGGGAAATCACAGACCCAGTTGTGACTGTGACTGCGACTGCTGGGGGGGAGCGGGGGGGAAAGATCACAGACCCGATTGTGACTGTGGTGGGTGGGGATCATAGACGCTCTGGGGACCCTGACATGGAACGGCGCAAAAGGGACCTTCAGCTTGGAGACTGGGGAAGTCCTGCCCCTGGGGTGGAGGTGCAGGCGTTGCCCCAGGGGTGTGGGGGGGGAACCCCAGCATTAGAGCAGGGCTGCGGAGGAGTGTCTCTCTCCTGCCCCAGAGTGGGCTCTCTCCAGCACCCGCTTGGCTGTGTGATGGAGTCGTTTGGCCATGGTTTGCCATGGGCGAATTCCTGGGCCTGCTCCTGGCTGAGGATCACATTGGTGCAGCCAGGAGAATGGGGACTCTGGAGCGGTCAGTTGCCCCTGCAGTCTGGCAGCTCCTGTCCAAGCACCCAGAGCTCACGCTGTCCCACCCGGGGCCATGGGACCTTGCTGCAGTCACGCAGGCTACCAGCCGTCGCCGGGTACATGTATGTCCGAGCATGTGTGTGAATAAAGCTTGCATTGCAGATACTGCAGCTCCATCTATCTCCCACCCCCACAGGCCTGGGGCAGCTCCCCAGGCAGAGCGCCAGCCAGCAGGAGCACGCAGCAAGGGGATCCACTCAGCCCAGGGCGGTCGTCAGGAGAGTCACTGCCGGGAAAAGCCAACGGGAGCTGTCTCTCGATCTCCAGACGTGCTCTTACAACAGCAAATATCCCTCCTCCCATCCTAGTGTGCATGGGGGGCCAGCGCTGACTGTCAGGGAAGAGCGCCCCCTACTGAGCAACCCACTTTCTGCAGCACAGGTCCCCTAGCGCTGGCCTGGGGCATTGGGACTAGCATTGACTGCAAGGGGAGAGAGCCCCTGCCTGCTCCTTGCAGCCGCCTGCCTGTTCCTTGGCAGTCTCCCCTCCACGGCGGGCCAGGCAGCTGCTGTTAGCGTGGGATGTTTGGTTGTATGACAACACGGGTTGCTATGGTTGTCGGTATCCTGGATACACAGCTCCCAGTGGCGACGGGGAGGCTGAGGACCAGCCAGGCCATGGAGCTCCCTCAGCCCTGTGGTGCAGCTGGCCGGGCAGGGGCAGTGCCTGGCAAGGGGTGCCAGGTGGACAGGGTCCCCAGGGCTGCCCAGTGTCTACGGGCAGGGTCCCAGAGACCTGGGCTGGGCCGTCCCTCTGCCTGCGGCACTGCGGGCTGCAGGCCAGCCTGGCTCGCACAGCACTGACTCAGTCTTTCTATGACTCGCCCCCGGCTGGGACCATGTGGCCAGGACTGGGGGGGAGATGGGCGCCAGCCAGGCCACGGCCCCACACTGCCCCCATGACAGGACTGGACCCCTCCCCCTGTCCCATCACACCCCTTGGTCCAGACAACATGGCACAGCACTCAGGGCGTACAAGTATGTCAGTGTGTGTGTGTGTGTGTGTGTGTGTGTGTGTGTAAATGACTGTGAATGATTGAGAGTATGTGCGTGCGACTGGGCATGGGTACGAATTGACAGCGTGTGTGTCAGTGTGTGTGCACATGTATGTCAGCACCTGTGTGTGTTTGTGTGTGTGCATCCCTTTGCATGTATATTTGCACACACATGGGCGTGCATGTGGGGGATGCTGGGTGCATGTGTGTGGCCCTGGATGTTGGTTTGCGTTGCACACACATACATGAGCCCAGCCGTTGCAGCTGTTTCTGTTGCTGCTCATTAACCCGTTGCCTGCCAGTGGCCTGGCTGGAGGACACTGCTCTCTGTACTGGGACACGTGGCTGGCAGGACTTGCCCAGTCCAGCATCCCTGGTGTCACGCTTGCCCACTCCTGTGCACAGGGTCCCCTGCCGGCCCTGGCTTCACTGGCTCCGAGGTCATCACTCTGAGCTGTGGGCGTTACAAGACTCCCTCCTTATAAACTGTGGCCAGGCTGAGTCATCCCCTAGCCTGGCCAGTCCTGCTCCATGAAACAGCCGTTCCTCACACTGTGCAGACCTGGCCCCAGGGCTTGCTCCCCACCAGCCACCATGCGGCTGCCCCTGCTCCTCCTTGGTGAGTACCAGCTGCTTTGGGGGCGAGGCTCAGGCACCGGGGAAGCCCAGCCCCTTCCTAGCCCCAGGGTCCCAGCTCAGGCACTGTCAGAACTCCCGGATGCTGAGGGCTGCAGGGGGCACAGAGCACCAGGCAGAGGTTGTTGAGCACTGGGCAGCGGGTGTTGAGCACTGGGCAGGGGACACTCAGTTTCAAAACCCCAAGCAGGGAGATCAAGGTGCCTGGCACTCCAGGGCTCACTCTGTTTGCAGGCATTTGCAGTGTTTATCTAAGTGCTGCTCACGCTGGTCGTTCCCGGATTGGGGGCTCAGACTGGCTGCTCCCCCACACCCAGCCAGGCCCCCACACTGGACCGTCCTGACTCCCTGACCCGCTGGGCAGGAGATTGGCCATCTGCTGGGCTCTGCTCACCTGCTGCGCTCTTGTTTTTCAGTTGGGTTCCTGGAATTTCACTACACAGGTAACTGGGTATTGTGGGTCTGTGCGTGCACCCCTCTGTGTGTGCGTGTCTCTGTGTATGTGTCCCTGTCGGCTCTGTGTGTGGGTCTGTGCGCGCACCCCTGTGTGTGTGCATGTCCCTGTGTATGTGTCCCTGTTGGCTCTGTGTGTGTATGTGTTCACCCCTGTGTGTGTGTGTACGTCGCTATCTGGCTCTGTGTGTGTGTGTGTGCGCCCCTTTGTATCCCTCTGTGTGTGTGTGTGTGCGTGTGCACCCCTGTGTGTGCATGTGCACCCCGTATGTGTCCCTGGGTGTGCCCCTATGTGTGGGTGTCCCTATCCCTGTGTGTGTCAGGGGGAGGCAGGGCACAGGACTACATAGGACCTATGCAGGCCTGGTGTGGAAACTGCTCACAGAGGAGTGCTTGGCCCAGTCCAGCTGAGGCATCTTGGCGACGCAAGCTCTGGCTTGCAGGTACCGCTCGGGGCTCTGCTGACAGCCATGTTGGGCAGGGGTGACACCTCTTCACACCCCGACCAACAGTCGTGCCAGCAAACTCTGCGTGTAGGCCTGGCCAGCATGTCCCTGGCCGTGTGTGTGTCCACCCCTGCCTGTCTCACCCTAGCACTGCCTGTCTGGGCCTGGCACTGTCTGTGGGGGTCCCCTCTCCACCTCCAGCTCTCGCTGCCTTCTGATGTGATGGGGATGGGCAACCACAACTCCAGCCCATGTGGGGCAGGTGGGGTGAAGTGTCGCAGTGGAGTGAAGTTTTGCAGTGGGGTGAAAGGTTGCAAGGGGTGTGAAGGGTCACAGTGGGGTGAAGGGTTACAGTGGGGTGAAAGGTTGCAGGGGGTGTGAAGGATTACAGTGGGGTGAAGGGTTACAGTGGGGTGTGAAAGTGTTGCAGTGGGGTGGAGGCTCAAAGGGGTTGAAGGTTCACAGGTGAGTGAAGGATCATGGGGCTGGGCTCAATGGGGCACAGTGGCCCATGGGATGATGGGCTCAGGGAGGAACAGCCCCATTATGAGGTAGGAGCCTGGGAGGAAGAGACCCATGGGGTGGTGGGGCCCTGGAGGGAAGGGGCCCATTGGGGTGGGGCTGGGGAGAGCGGTCCCATGGAGCAGAGTGGCCTGAGAGGGGCTGGGGTCCTGAGAGGAAGGAGTGGTGCAGTGGGGCCCTGGGGGTGGCGTAAGGCCCTGTGGGGCTGGGTGGAGAGGGGAGGGCCCAATGGGGCAGAGGTGCCATGAGAGGGGGTTGTGGGTCTGACAGGCTGTGCCATCCCTGCAGGCCCATTCCTGGTGCGTCTGGCTGGGGGCCCCAGTGAGTGCGTGGGGCGCGTGGAGATCAACTACAAGGGCCGCTGGGGCTCGGTGTGTGACGACGAGTGGGACCTGGCCGACGCAGCCGTGGTGTGCAGGCAGCTGGGCTGCGGCACCGTGCTCTCTGCCCCGGTGGGCGCCTGGTTTGGGGAGGGCACTGGCCCCATCTGGCTCAATGAGGTGCGGTGCCAGGGCTCAGAGCAACATCTGCGCCACTGCCGCCACCGGGGCTGGCGCCAGCATGTCTGCAGTCATGAGGAGGACGCCAGTGCCGTGTGCTCAGGTGGGGCCAGCCGGAGTGTGTGACGTGGCAGCTGGGAATGGCAGTTGGAGCCGGCGCCCCATAGAGGGGACAGGCCCCATGTCCCATTCCCTACCCGCTGAGCCAGCTGGTCACCGCATGGGGCCAGAGCGGAGCGGACGCCCCTAGAGGGCCCCGTGTCCCATTCTCCACCCCCTGAGCCAGCCATTCCTGCCCTGGGGCCGGATGGGAGCTGGCGCCCCATAGAGGGGACAGGCCCCATGTCTCATTCCCCACCCCCTGAGCCAGCTAGTCCCTGCATGGGGCCAGAATAGAGCGGACGCCCCTAGAGGGCCCCATGTGCTATTCCCCACCCCCTGAGCCAGCCAGTCCCCGCCTTGGGCCGGAGTGGAGCAGACACCCCTAGAAGGCCCTGTGTCCCACTACAGCGTGGTGTGGCTGAGGCTCTGGGTATGTGCAGGTGTTATGGCCTGTTCCATTTCAGTGCCCATTGTGGCTGGCACCGATCCTTCCAGGGCCCAAGGGCCACACTCTCCATGTGGCCATGTCTCTGTGTCCCTGTCTGACCCTGCTGTTCCCACAGCTCACCGCTTCCTGCCCGTCATCACCACCGAGCCCTCGGTGCAGCCGGCCCTTGGGGACCACAAACCCCCAGCACAGAGCACAGCCAGGCCGGCTTCCACCACACCAGAGCACAGTGAGTATGAGACAAAACAATTCCCCCCGTAGGGAACCCCCACCCCCAATGACCCTCCCACTCCTTGGCACATGCCTCCCTCCATTCCATCTCCCCAACTTCCAGGGGCTTCATCCCAGGGGAAGTGGAATTGCTCGTTTATGAGCATTGATTGGAGCTAGCTGTATTACTGACCCCTGGTGGGATGAGCCACAGGACTGGAATGTTAAAATCAAGGGTTAGAGCCTATGTAGGAAGCCTCGAGTGGGCAAACGGGGAAGGAGAACACTCTACCTCAAAAGTGGCATTGCTTGTTTCTGAGTCACTGATCTACAATGTGTGGAAGAAAAGCTGCATCCTGGGGGACTTCAATTCTTTTCAATTCCAAGGCCAGAAGGGACCATTGTGATAATGTCTAGTCTGACCTCCTGCATAACACAGGCCCGAGAACGTCTCCCAAGTAATTCCTAGAGCAGAGCTTTGAGAAAACCCTCCAGTCGGAGCGACCTACCCTGGAGGTCTCACACTGCCAGGATCAAAACATCATAGGAATTTCAGAATATTGTAGATGGCTGGGAGGGAGGAGGGGGAATGCGGGGCACTCAGGGGAGGGGGCAGAGTTGGAGTGGGGACTTTAGGGAAGGGGCGGGGCCGAGGCGGGGAAGAGGCGGAGTTGGGGCAGGGCCGGGGCGGAGTTGGGGCCAGGGCCCCGTGGAGTGTCCTCCTTTTTTAAGGTTTAAATATGGTAACTCTAGGAAGGACAGGTGTGTGTGTGGGGGAAAGGTGGAGAAGTTGCACTGTATGTAAGAGAGCAGTATGACTGTTCAGAGTTCCAGTATGAAACTGGAGAAAAGCCTATTGAGAGTCTTTGGGTTTAGTTTAGAACCGAAAGCAACAAGGGTGATGTCGTGGTGAGCATGTGCTATAGACCACTGGACCAGGAGGATGAGGTAGACGAGGCTTTCTTCGGACAACTAACTGAAGTTTCCAGAACACAGGCCCTGGTTCTCATGGGGAACTTAAATCGCCCTGCCATCTGCTGGGAGAGCAATACAGTAGTGCATAGACAATCCAGGAAGTTTTTGGAGAGTGTTGGGGACAACTTCCTGGTGCAACTACTGGAGGAACCAACTAGGGGCCATGCTCCTCTTGACCTGCTGCTTACAAACAGGGAATAATTGGAAGGGGAAGTAGAAGTGGGTGGCAACCTGGACAGCAGTGACCATGAGATGGTTGAGTTTAGGATCCTCACAAAAGGAAGAAAGAATACGGACCCTGGACTTCAGAAAAGCAGATTTTGATTCCCTTAGGGAACTGATCCCCTGGGAGGCTAATATGAGGGGGCAAGGAGTCCAGGAGAGCTGGCTGTCTTTTAAAGAAGCCTTATTAAGGGCGCAGGAACAAACCATCCCGATGTGCAGAAAGAATAGCAAATATGGCAGGCGACCAACTTGGCTTAAGAGTGAAATCTTCGGTGAACTTAAACACAAAAAGGAAGCTTACAAGAAGTGGAAACTTGGACAGATGACTAGGGAGGAGTATAAAAATATTGCTCAAGCATGCAGGGCTGTAATCAGGAAAGCCAAAACACAACTGGAGTTGCAGCTAGCAAGGGATGTGAAGGGTAACAAGAAGGGTCTCTACATGTAAGTTAGCAACAAGAAAAAGATCAGGGAAACTGTGGGACCCTTAATTGAATGGGGGAGGAAACCTAGTGACAGATGATGTGGAAAAAGCTGAAGTACTCAATGCTTTTTTTGCCTCGGTCTTCACAGACAAGGTCAGCTCCCACCTGCTGTCCTGGGCAACACAGTATGGGGAGGAGGTGAGCAGCCGCGAGTCGTGAAAGAACACGTTAAGGACTATTTAGAAAAGCTGGACATGCACAAGTCCATGGGTCCAGATCTAATGCGTCCGAGGGTGCTGAGGGAATTGGCTGATGTGATTGCAGAGCCATTGGCCATTATCTTTGAAAACTCATGGCGATCGGGGGAGGTCCCAGACGATTGGAAAAAGGCAATGGAAGAAGGAGCCTCACCTCAGTCCCTGGAAAAATCATGGAGCAGGTCCTCAAGTAAACCATTTTGAAGCACTTGGAGGAGGGGAAGGTGATCAGAATCAGTCAATGTGGATTCACCAAGGGCAAGTCATGCATATTGGGCTGCATTAGTAGGAATATTGCCAGCAGATTGAGGGAAGTGATTATTCCCCTCTATTCGGCACTGGTGGGCCACATCTGGAGTATTGCGTCCAGTTTTGGGCCCCCCACTACAGAAAGGATGTGGACAAATTGGAGAGAGTCCAGCAGAGGGCAACGAAAATGATTAGGGGGCTGGGGCACATGATTTATGAGGCGAGGCTGAGGGAACTGGGCTTATTTAGTTTGCAGAAGAGAAGAGTGAGGGGGGGATTTGATAGAAGCCTTCAACTACCTGAAGGGAGGTTCCAAAGAGGATGGAGCTAGGCTCTTCTCAGTGGTGGCAGATGACAGAACCAGGAGCAATGGTCTCAAGTTGCAATGGGGGAAGTCTAGGTTGGATATTAGGAAACACTATTTCACTAGGAGGGTGGTGAAGCACTGGAATGGGTTGCCTAGAGAGGTGGTGGAATCTCCATCCTTAGAGGTTTTTAAGGCCTGGCTTGACAAAGTCCTGGCTGGGATGATTTAGTTGGTGTTGGTCCTGCTTTGAGCAGAGGGTTGGACTAGATGACCTCCTGAGGTCTCTTCCAATCCTAATCTTCTATGCTTCTAAGATTCTATGACCAACTAGAATGAAACAAAACAATATAAAATTAACATGGCACACATTAAATGGATTAAAAACTGGCTAGTTGATAGGTCTCAAAATGTAACTGTAAACGGGGAATCATCAATGAGCAGCAGTGTTTTTAGCGGGATCTCACTAGGTTCAGGTCTTGGCCATATGCTCCTTAACGTTTTTATCAATGACCTGGAAGAAAACATAAAATCATCACTGATATAGTTTGCAAATGACACATATATTGGGGGAGTGGTAAATAATGAAGGGGACAGGTCACGGATACAGAGCGATCTGGATCAGCTGATAAACTGGGTGCAAGCAATAATATGTGTTTTAATATGGCTGAATGTAAATGTATTCATCTAGGAACAAAGAATGCAAGAGAAGGTTAAGGGAGGATGATCACAGACTGTAGATATCTACATGGGGAACAAATATTTAATAATGGGCTCTTCAGTCTAGCAGAGGAAGGACCAACACGATTTAGACTGGAACTAAGATACACATTTTTAACGAGAGTAATGAAGCGTTGGAACAATTTACAATGGGTTGTTGTGGATTCTCCATCATGGACAATTTTTGACTCAAGATTCGGTGTTTTTGTAAACAATCTTCTCAAGGAATTATTTTGGGGATGTTCTCTGCCCTGTGCTATGCAGGAGGTCAGACCAGATGATGAAAGTGGTCCCTTCTCGCCTTGGGATCTATGAATCTACGAGCTTCCCCTTCTGTTTGCCCTGATGTCACCAAGCATGCCAGAGCCATGATCCTGTCAGAGACTTGCCCCCACCCATCAGCCTGGGCAGTGGAGCTCCCTTCCCTTGCAAAGACCCCCCATGCCCCAGCCTGGCCTGTGGCGCCCCTCCCTCTACAGAAAGCCCCAGTCTCTTAGTCTGGCCTATAGGGCCCCTCTGTGTTCCCCATCCCCTGGTGACCTATTATCTGCCCTGCAGGCGGCGCCCCCCTGCGGCTCGTGGGGGGCCCCCACAGCTGCGCAGGGCGTCTGGAGGTGCTTCACGGGAGCCAGTGGGGCTCGGTGTGTGATGACGGCTGGGGGCTGCTGGAGGGCGCCGTGGTATGCCGGGAGCTGGGCTGTGGCGCAGTTCAGGCTGCCCCCGGGGGGGCGCATTTTGGGACTGGCACTGGCCCCATCTGGCTGGATGACGTGGGCTGCAGTGGGAAAGAGATGTCCCTGAGGCAGTGTCGGGCACGGCCCTGGGGGCGCACCAACTGCCAGCACGACGAGGATGCCAGTGTCATCTGCACAGGTACCCCCCAGAGCTATCCCCCACCAGGAACTACCTACCCGCCTAGGACCAACTACCCCACAGAGCTACCCCTCCCACAGAGCTACGCCCCATGCCAAACTACCTACTTCCCCAGTTACACCTCCCCCCTGAGCTACCTACCACCCTGACAAACTACTCCCCAGAGCTACCCCTCCCCCAGAGCTACCTCCCCGCCAACAAACTACTGCCCAGAACTACCTCTCCCCCAGAGCTACGCCCCACCCTGAACTACCTACTTCCCCAGAGTTAGCTCCCCCCAGAACTTCCTAGCACCCTGAGAAACTACTCCCCAGAACTACCCCTTCCCCAGAGCTACCTACCCCCCCAGAACTACCCCTCTGCCAGAGCTACCTAACCCCCCAGAACTACCTACTTCCCCAGAGTTACCTCCCCCCAGAACTACCTACCCGCCAATAAACTACTCCCCAGAGCTACCTCCTGCCCAGAGCTACCTCTCTCCCAGGACCAACTATCCCACCGAGCTACCTTCCCCCCAAAGCTACCTCAGCCCCGAACTACCTACCTCACCGAGCTACCTTCCACCCAGAGCTACCTCCCCCTGACAAAGTACTCCCAAGAACTACTGTCCCCCCCCGACCTACTATCCCCCAGAGCTACCTCCCCCCAGACCTACCTTCCCCCCCTTGAACTACCTACCTCACCGAGCTACCTTCCCCCCCAAGCTACCTCCCCCCCCAGAACTACCTACCCCCGACCTACTACCCCCCAGAACTACCTCCCCCTGGCAAACTAGCCCCCAGAGCTACCTCCCACCCAGAGCTACTTCCCTACCCAGAACTACCTACCTCCCAGAGCTATCTCTCTCCCAGGACCAACTATCCCACCGAGCTACCTTCCCCCCAAAGCTACCTCCCCCCCGAACTATCTACCTCACCAAGCTACCTTCCCCGCCCCCAGAACTACCTCCCCCCGACCTACTACCCCCCAGAGCTACCTATCCCCCAGGACCAACTATCCCACCGAGCTACCTCCTGTCCAGAGCTACTGACCCCCCACAACTAACTATCCCCCAGAGCTACCTACCCCCCTGAACTACCTACCTCACAGAGCTACTTACCACCCTAGGAACAAATATCTTTCAGAGATACTCTCCCCCGCAGAACTACTTACTTCCCCAGAGCTATCTTCCCCTCCCAGAACTACCCCCCAAGAACTACCTCCCCCTCCACAAACTTCCTATCTCCCAAAGCTACCTAGCCCCTTAGGACCAACTACCCCCCAGAGCTCCCTGCTCTCTCTGATCTCTGCTTTCTCCCCAGGGGGTGCTGTGCTGCGGCTGGTGGGTGGCGCAGGTTCCTGCTCCGGGCGGCTGGAGGTTTTCCACCAGGGCCGCTGGGGCACAGTGTGCGATGACATGTGGGCGCTGCCAGGCGCGGCTGTGGTGTGCCGGGAGCTCGGCTGCGGGGACCCACTCTCTGCTCCCAGGGGGGCCTTTTTTGGTGAGGGCAGTGGTCCCATCTGGCTGGACAACGTGCGGTGCCAGGGCAATGAGTCGGCGCTGAGCCGGTGTCTGGCTGCACCATGGGGCGTGCATGACTGCCAGCATGCGGAGGACGCTGGTGTGGTGTGTACAGGTAACCTGTGTGTGTGTGTGTGGGGGGGGAAATCTCTCTTCTCTTGTACTGGGCTCTCACCATCTCACCAGTCGGAACCCAGATTTTAGCTCTCTCAGGTTCTCTGCTGCTTCCATCAGTAGATGGCGCTGGTGTGTGGCATGTTTCCTCCATGGTGCGCTGAGCCGGAAGGTTTGGTTCATTCCATGTAAATCAGAATTAGCCTGACGGTTCATTGGGGTCCATCTGTTAAGCAGTTTCTTTTAATATTCAGAATAGGGTGACCAGACAGCAAATGTGAAAAATCGGGACGGGTTGGGGGGTAATAGGAGCCTATATAAGAAAAAGACCCAAAAATCAGGACACCTGGTCACCCTAACTCCAAAGTTATACCCTGGGTAGGAGCCAAGATCTGGCATTATTCCCTTCCCCTCCCTGGACTGGACCCCTCATCACACTTCTAGAGCAGGACGCCCAGCTAGAAACAAAATCCTGGATCGGTCCTCTGAATGCAGGGCCCAGCCTGGACGTCCCTGTACTGAATGGAGAGCAAGAGGCACTTTACTGCAGTACAAACAGGAATCCGTTCTCTGGCCTGTGAATGTGTGAAGGAACATGACCAAGGGTTTGCCCAAGGAGAGCGGTCGATGGGGTTCATCACACAAAGGAACAGTGGCTAGTTGGGCGTGAGATGTGTCTGTACGCTGGAGTTTAGCTAGTTTGCTCGTGGGGACGTTCAGCTGTCTGGGCGCACGGTGAGCGCTTCCTAGAGGGTTTTTTTACCCTCCTCTCTAACGCTTGACTTACCCCTGACAGCCGGGATTCCCCCTGTGTGTTGAGCCTTGGAGGGTCTCTCTAGTTGGACAGAGGGAGAGAAGCTCTGCCCCTAGGTGGCTGTCAGCCTTGCTTGGTCACTGAGCAGGATGGAGATTTGGTTTAACCATCACATCTCCTAGTCTTGGGCTCATGGAAATTCCTTAGCCAACATGTCTAAAAAGCGTGTAACCCTGCTGCCAGCTAGTGGTGGCAGCGACAAGGGCCGGGTTCAGTATCCAGGGGTTCCTCTTAACACCACAAAACAGAAGTGGCTCAAGCCCCCACCCAGAAATCTGGGAAAAGTGACCACCTCCCCTGGTGCCTCCAAGAGGCAATGCTTCCCCTTTACCAGCTGAGTCTGTGTACTGTATAGCAGAGAAAACTTCTAAGAAAAGGCAAAAGGAACCCAGCATTAATTTGAGAAGATACCACAACAGTGACTCCCAAGTAAGCAATCAGTAAGTAAAACACCTGCCTGGCAGTGTCCTTTGCCTCAGTTTCCCACCTTGCAGTGTGAAAGGCTGATGGACAAGTGTCCCTTTAATATGCCACTCCCCTCCCCCTGCGCTGTACCCCACTTGCGATTGGTTGTCTGAGGTGGGCGAAGTCCCAGAATTCGGGAGGCATTCACAGGGTTCAGCTCCTGCCCCTGAAGGGGGGTTGGGCAATACCTCTGTTACCAGGGCTGGCTCCAGGCACCAGCTAAGGAAGCAGGTGCTTGGGGTGGCCAATACAAAGGGGCAGCACTCTGTCCACTATTGGGGCAGCACGGCCGGGTCTTCGGCGGCGGGTCCCTCAGTCCCTCTCTTCCTCTTTGAGCTGCCGCCGAAGAAGCGAGGGAGTGAAGGACCCGCCGCCGAACTGCCGCCGAAGAATGGAGCGGCACGATTGAGCTGCCGCCGAAGTGCCGCCGATCGGCTTTTTTTTTTTTCCTCCCTGCCGCTTGGGGCGGCAGAAAACCTGGAGCTGGCCCTGTCTGTTACTGCGCCTCTATGACTGCCGCGAGCTGCAATGCTGTGCCCTGTCCGTAGGGATTTCACTGGACAGCGAGGAACCTCTGCCTTGCTTTCACCACACCACTGTCCCGACACCCGCTCCAAGGCTCAGAGACCCGCTCATCCCCAGGTCCCGCTGTAGGGAGCGCTGAAGCCAGGCCTCTCCACGGAGTCCGATCAGTGCTCTCTTTACCCCCTGGAGAAGGATCAATCAGTAGCTAAAACACTTTAACCCCCAGCTAGAAACCCCTATTCCAGCCCCTGTTGCTTTTCCCTGGGGTTTGGCATCACCGTGCCTGCTTAGTGAGGAGATTAGGGAGCCCCTCTCAGTCAGGGCAGGCTAAGGACAGGCCTGCAGCCCTTTACTCCTGCAATAAGGATAACAGCAGGTTGGTGCCCCGTGTCCAAGACTGTTTAACCCTTAACCGCCCAAATGGATCACTTTGGGCAAGCAGCTGTCTGCTGAGCGCCTAGGCAGAGGAGGCGTGTCTATGCAAATACAGCCTGTTCCATTCAGATCCTGCTTGCCCACGGATTGTGGGCAAGAGATGGGATGAGCCAGGGCCATCTCGCAACCTTCTTCAGTACGCTCGCTAGGGGAACAGAGGGAGAGCACCTGCTCAAAGGGGCAGGGGAGCGTATAGCTATTCTACCAAGCTATTCTAGGCGTATTTGACCTCTGTACATTTTACCGTGTGCGCTGTGCCTGCATGTGCATAATGTGTGCATATGTGTATGTGCATGCAACATGTGTGTGCAGTGTGCATTTTTGTGCAGTGTGAGTGCATACAGTGCATGTGTGCAGTAGTGAGTGTGTGTGTACGTTGTGTGTGCAATGTGCGTGTGTGCAGCAGTGTGTGTGCAGTGTATGCATGTGCGTGCAGTGTATAATCTGTGTGTGTGCAGCAGTGTGTGTGTGTGCAATGTGCATGTGCGCAGTGGTGTGTGTGTGCAGTGTATGCATGCACATGCCGTGTGCAATCTGCGTGTGTGCAGCAATGTGGGTGCGTGGGTGCAATTCACATTTGCACAGTGGTGTTTGTGTGCAGGGTATGCATGTGGGTGCAGTGTGAATTGTGCATGTGCAGTGATGTTTTTGCACAGTGCTGTGTGTATGTGCATGCAGTGTGTCTGTGTATAGCGTGCACAGTGTGTGTATATCTCTGGGAGTGTGTTTGTGCCAACCCCCTCAGGTTGCTAGGATCTCTCCCATTTCCTTCACAGACGAGTTGGCCCCTGTGAGGCAGCGCTTTGCCAAGCCCATGGCCCCACAGCCACGAATGCAGAAGCCACGGACGCAGAAGCCACGGACGCAGAAGCCCCGACCCCGGCTCCCTTCGGTGGCACGGGAGGAGACACAGGCACCAGCCCAGGTATCCCCACAGGCAGTGCTACCAGGTGAGTGAGCGGTGGGGACTACCCTCCCCAGCCAGCCCCCCCCCCGTTCCTGGCCACCCAGTCCTCAACCGACTCCCTAGTCCAGCCTCCAACCTGCCCCATCCCCTGGCAAAGCCATCCCCCTGCTAGCTCCCAACCCATCTGTCCCTGATCCTCAGGATCCTGCATTAGACAGTCCCTTGAAGGAACCCGTCAGTGTGCTAGTCCCCCAAGGGGTCCCATTCTTCCTCCAGGGTCAGCCACACCGGCCTCACCGCCTCCGAGACTGAACCTCTGGGCTCCAGCGAGCGAGCTCTGCCCAGTCAGTCCGGCTGAGAGACTCCTGGGAGAGCCTGGGCCGCCCTGCAGGGATTCCTGCACCTCAGCCGGGATTGACAGTGACACCTGGTGTGGGGCAGGCCTTAGGGTAGCAGGACGTCGTCCAGAGTGGCCAAGCCAGGGCTCCCTTGAAGGAACCGTCCGGCCCCCACCCACCCCCATCCGCCCAACCAGCCCTCAGCCACCCATCTGCCCCTCCAGTCCACCCCTCCAGTCCAGCCAACCCACAGCTCCCCATCCTTCCCCACCCACCCAGCCAGCCCTCAGCCCCTCCATCTGTCCCCCCATCCCACCCCACCCACCTAACCAGCCCTCAGTCCCCCATCTGCCCCCCATCCTACCCTCTCCCACCCGAGCCAGCCCACAGCCCCCCATCTGCCCCTCATTCCACCCCTGAAGTCCAGC